ACGGTCTTTGCTGCCATTGGTTCCTTCATTAGGCTGCTGGGTAGCTTGAACTGAATGTGCTGCTGTCCTTGATTCTTTGGGCACTAGAGGACACATAATGTGGTGCCATTGCTGAGGTTTGGAGGTGGATAGTATTTCTGCACTTGTATTTCCTTCAGTGAAGGTTGAAATGTTGTAAATTGCGAACATCTGTGCTCTATGCCTCCTGCACATTCATAATCTCTTTTTTCTTCTTTTTCCTTTCCTCTTGGCTCAGTCCGTCAGCGTGACTTTGGCAGAAATGTGAGCATTGAATACATGCTAAAATATCCCCCCCAGAAGGTAGTTAACCTCAGGTCTGCATGCTCATCATTCAGGGCTGATTGTGCCTATGCTGCTCCTTGCATACACACTTTAAACTCATCCCATTACCTGCCTAATAAAGTGGGAGAGTGAAATGTGTTCAGCAGAGTCATTATGGGAATGAGCTCTGCTGCTCGGTAAATAAGTTGCCGTTTGCTGTCCGCAGTGTGCGTGCAGGGGGAGACAGAGGTGAACTTCGGAATAAGATGCTAACTTTGGGATGGATTAAGCTTTGGTGATCAGATACTTTCCTTGCGCCAAATTTCGACTTGTCTCTCTAAACTTGTCTAAACCCTATGGTGGTCTGCCCAAAGGGCAACATAAGGTTTAACAAACCGGATCTTTGGCTGATATGATCTGGCATGGATCTGAATTAATATATACCAGGGGGAAAAAAAAAATCTTTGTGGGGTTGCTAAACAACCATTATGTTTCACTTCAATTATTTGACATGTTTCTAAATTGCCCTTAAACAGCTTTTGGGATCCTTCTGTACAGAAGGGTTATGCAAACAGGTCACGCATTTAATTGCTATTTTAGACTGTTTTTTTCCTGAGGGAGCTATGTACCCAGATCCCAGGTATTACCAATAGTTTAGAGATTTGAATACCTTTTGAAAATTTTATTTCATATTTGTTGTTGTTAATGCAATGCTCAACTGGAATTCTGCGTGGTTTTTAGTTTGTTTTGTTTTGTTTTGTAAACTGGAATTCTGTGTGGTTTTTTGTTTGTTTTGTTTTGTTTTTTCTAGTTTCTCATAACCCATGCAACAGATGGGCTGAATGTTGGGAAAAGTGTGGTATGTGCTTGCCTTGTTTCTACTCTTCCCAAAGAGTAAAACTTGCAGCCACTGTTAAAGATGCTGCAGTGGGCTGGTTGGAGCCTCGTGCTGAGTACATACAGCTGCGTTTTCTCCTTGTGAAAGTGGAAGCGGCTTTTGCAGAGGTCTGCTGAGTTCGAGAGGGAACCTATCCTTTGGGGATAAGAAAAAACTCCTAAAATATTTTTGTGGTGCCACATCCTGTGTCACAGCTGGGCATGACCCAGCCAGACATCTTGACTTAGACTTGCATGCGGAAAACTGGCCATCTTACAGGCATTAACTACAGCTAAAAGGTTACATTTTTGCATTTGCAAATCTGACAGCTCTAATGTATTGGCTCTAATGGAGCTTTTTAATTTATAAGCCTCATATAATACCAGGAACAAAATATCCCATTGTAAAACATTAGTCTGCTCTGTTTGCAGAATTCCTAAAAACAGAACAAACCCCCCAAGCTTTTCAGTGTTATTCCTCCCACCAGAGTAACTGTGCTGTGTGGGAAATGGCATGTGCTGCTTTGTTTTCTTTGCTAGTTTGTCGTTTTGTTCCTGTGAATTAATCCCCATCCACAAGAAGTTATAATAGAGGCCATTTCTCAAGAGGAAGCATTTCTGCCATTCCCACTGATAAGTTTACTGTTAATCAATATTTGAACCTCCAGAGCTAAGAAATTTGGTACTGCATCCTTGTTTCATCATCTTTAATGGACAGATTATTTCTGTGTCAGCTGTGGATCAAAGTTTTCAAGTGACCATCTGTGGCAATTGGTGTTATTCAATCAATGGTCTACTGCCCACAGGTGGTCCGTAAACCATCAGAAGGTGATCTGTGCAGCAGTGGGAATTGAAAGCAAAAATCACAGCAATCCTACAGGCATACACAGTGCTCCCCTGCAGTCAACAAGCAGTGATGTGTGTGCTGCAGGCAAAGTCATCTTGTAGGCACGGATCTACAGGTAGGGTATAGGCTGTGGATTTTATTCCTAAAAGTTTCAGTTCCTTCTTGAGAAGCTTGGCTGTAAAAGAAGCGTTGGATTTATGAGGGGTTTATTTTTACCAACATGATTGTTTCTCTATGGGAAGGACGTTGATGTGGTGATATGTTGAGTTTGGAGTTGGATGATTTGGAGTCTCGATTCCACTAGTTCTGGCTCTTCTCTGAGGTGATAGGATGGAAATTTTGTAGCAGGGATGCTGCAGAGTGGCACCTGGATCTGCTCCCAAGCAGTAGGGTATGGTTGTTTCTGTTTTACTTGGCAAAAGCAGAAAAACTTCTATGCCTGCACAGGTAGTCCCTGCAGTGTGCTGCCCATGCCATGTGCTTGGAGGCAGGGGGGTGTCTCCAGGGGGCTGAGCAGCGGCAGCTCTCCCATGTGCTGCGCCGGGGTGCGTGATTTGCTCAAGCTTGGTATAAATGTCTTTGTGCGTTTGCCCTGTGAAGACATTGCCCTTTGAGCAAGATCCCAAGACTGTCTGCAGCAGCAGTTAGGGATCCTCTTGAGCAGTCTCTAAAGTTTCACAGAGCCCACAAGGGCATGTGGACGGCTGTGTGTGCCTCTCTCCCACCTGCTTCCCAGCAGAAACCCATAGGCTGTCCAGAATATGGCTGTATTCACAAATCACCACGTTCCCATCGCTTGGTGATTGCAAAGATATCATTTCTTTGGGTGCTGTCTTCCATGTGCTCTTTTTTTTTTTCCAGCATGTTTCCTTTTCTTGCATAAAATGACTGCTCTGTGGCCTGTGATGCAATATGCAGTATTGACAGCCCTGTATATTAAAGGATAATAGGAAAAAAAAAAACATGGAGCCTGAACCGTCCTTCATATCATTATATTATGGTGTATATTGTCTTTTGTCTCTTAATTTTCACCTTTTATTTGTATTCTAGTCATTGTATTCTCAGTCCTTCTTCACAACTGGAAACTTTTTTTTCCCTTCTTTCCCCTCCTCCCTCCCTTTTTTTCCCCTTGTGAAAACCAATATCATTGGGCATAATCACAGGACTCTAGAAGATGGGCCTTGAATCTAAAAATTTCCCTTCATTTTCTTTTTCTATGTAGGAGTCTCTTAATAAAAATGTGAGGGATGCCACAGCTCTGAGACTTGCTCTCTGCTAACAGTTTCGTTACTGAGCAGGAGTTCATTTCATTTAGAGTATGAGGGAAATACTCTGAAGTTCTCTCAGCTGGAATTTGAATTCAAATCCCACCTGTAAAGCATGATGAGTGAGCCTAGGACATCTTGAAGTACTGCTTGTGGCACACTCCTCAAAACATATCCCGTGGGCAAGGCTGTTGAGCTGCTGTCTTTGGTTCTCTTTGAAATAAGATGAGCAAGTGCAGAAGCTTTTAATTACATAATATAGCTGAATTTGAGAGAGGCAAGTCAACCATCAGGAAATCCTTGTAGAAGAAATGATCTGTATAAAAAGTCCAGAACAAGAGTGATGCAGAAGAAGGATAAGTTTGGGAACAGTTTGGTTCCTGTGGTCTGTGGGTATCAGCAGTGGAAAAACCCTTGCAAAGCAGTGTTTTAGGAACCTAGGTAAGTGCTGTCTTTTGTGCTCATGGTTGAGAGAATAAAGCTTATTGAGTATGAAGGAATTTTTCCATTTTAATGCTTTTAAGGTGAAATGGATAATATTAGAAATGTTTTTAAGTTTTGTAACAAAAAAATATTTTCCTGGTCTAATAAATGACTTTGATGTTTAAGGATACTTTTTATTGAACATGCATCTATTGCAATGGTAGCGTACTGGGTTAGCAAAATGAGAACACACTGACCTTGAAGCTCTACACAGTTTTTATCATTTTGAAAAAGTTTACCAGTATTTGAGTAAAATTTCAAACAGCTGTTAATTATTCTTTTTTTTTTTTGGTAGGGATAAACTTCCCAGTCTTTTTACCTTAGTCTTTTGCAATCCAAAATGAATTTCAGATCTACTTTATTAGGCTTATTTGTGCTTGCAGTTGCATTCTGTAATTGAATGGTGCCAGCATTTGAATTGCAGAAACGTATAAATCACTTGATACAATTTTATATTTGGAATAAGAAAGACTGCTTTTACGAATATGGCCTTTCCATAAGACTTTTTTTTGTCAGTTCTATCTTTAGTTTTCATTTTCACAAAACTGCTAGCTTCAAATTTAAATCCCTGCTGAGTTACTGAAATGTTTTGAAGATGACAGGGAGGTTATGATATTTCTAGCCTAATTTTACAGACTCAGGATATAAAGATGAATTGGGAAAAGCTTCAGGTAGCATCACGGACGGTGGATGTTTCTCTTTGTTAGGCTTCATCTTTGAAATCCTGCAGTCATTCTTCATTCGTTAGAGAACTCCCTTTTGTTGAGTGGTAATTCAGAGTTGGGCCATTAATTTTGTCTCGCAATTGCAGGCAATTAATCAAATAGGCAAAAAAAAAAATTAAACTATTACTGTTTGCCAATCTTGGTTGCATGTACCATCCAAGTGCTGACTCTTCTACATAATGATTAAAATGTTCTGCTCCTCTCTTGCAGAGCTCTCTGGGGGGAGGGGTGTGTATGTATGTGTGTGTATATATTTATGCGTGTGTGTGTATTATATGCATATATATATATATATAGAGAGAGAGACACACACACTTTCTACTTTGTTTTCCCAAGCCTTTAGCAATCTGAGTGCACCAAAGCCCTGACAGAGCTCAGCCCTCACCTTACTGGATGCTAAGGGCCAGTATAAGTAGCTTTAAATAGTTTGTGAGGGAAAAAGTCGGGCAGAAGTGCGACCACTGATGTCCGCTGGTCCGAGCCCAGGGCTCAGCATCTCACGCAGCCTCTCTGCCCTTGCAGGTGTTCCCGGGCAACAGCAATGCCGACGGCGTGGTGCACCACAAGCTGCACTCACTGAAAGGCCGCTTCGTGCGCTTCGTCCCGCTCAAGTGGAGCCTCAGCGGGCGCGCAGGACTCCGAGTCGAGGTCTTCGGCTGCTCCTATAGTAAGTGGCCAAGTCTTAACCTGCATTTTGCTTTTTTTTTTTTTTTTTTTTAAAAAAAAAAAAAAAAAAAGTTTTGGTGGTGGTGCCGTTAGTATGGAGGCATGCAAGGCAGTAGATGTAAACATGAAATATATAGCCATATTTCCTTTTCACTTGCTGGGTTTGTGTACCCCTGGGTACACACTGGGTTGCGCTGGTCTGTCTGGCTCAGCTGGTGAAGTGTTGAGGCTTATTTTGCCAGCAAGACAGTTGCAGTGAGCCCTCCTCCCATCTCCCTCCCAGCACACCCCCGTGCAGAAACTCAAGTTAGCTTTGATTTTTGCTTAGTACTTTATTTAGAAATTGTACACTTTTGATGTAGTTTAGTAATTAATAGCTTATTTTTGATTTTAACTAATTGTTAACTAACTAATTGTTAAATGAAGTGCTGCAGATTGTTTAGCCAGTGTTTATATTCTGGTGAATGGCTTTAAAGCTCTGGAGAGCAGAGAGCTCATCTGCTGCTGCTTGTCTGCTGCTTTAATTGTTCTCGCCTTGGGTGTTTTATTCATCTCTTGCCTTCCTAACACACAGTGAAGAGCCTTTGACGTGGCGTTTGCAACTGTGTCACAGGGGTCTTGGAGGGGCCTATAAACACGGTCACCTCAGGGCAATTTGGCCACACGTTGTCTTACTACGTCACTGCAGATGCATGACTACAGAAGCATATAGATGTAAAGAAAAAGGAGTATTGCTCTCATGCACAAAATGAAAGCAAGCTCCTAAATGAGGAAACACTAATGCAGTATCTTTTTTTCTCAAATGTTGGTGGATTTATTTCTGAACTGCTCAAAATTGGTTTTGTAGTGCTCAGAGACCCTGATGGAGATGGGTGACACTTTACTGGGGCGAGTTCCTGGGATTAACAGCCTTTGACTGGTAAATTTAGTCTGGTATGGCATGGGCCACCAGCATGGGACACTACTGTAATTGTACCTCCATTCAGATCAGTTCTCCTCTGCTTCTCCCAGGTGAGAGAGCAGGATTGTAAGATAAGTGGAAAGGGCCCTATTTGGGAGACTTCTTGCAGTATCTGAGAGTAAAGTTTTTTAAATTCTTGATTCACACAGTCACATTAAACAGAGAGCTCCAGGGCGGTAAGTTGCCTTATCACTACACTCAGGTCATTGGATTGGTTCACAGATGTTCACAGGAAGATCCTTTTTAAGGTCTGTAGGCTCCATTCAGGCACTATGGACTACAGTTCACTTGAACGTAGACCTGCAAAAAGCTTCCAGCCTGATCTGATAGTCACTTGGACAAGAGACCTTTTCCAGTTCTAGAATGGGCCTGTAAGTTGAGGCCTGTAAATCAAAACCAACTGCCTTTGTTATTGATCCAAAGCAGCTATCTCATCTATTTCCAAGGATCTTTTTTTTTTTTTTTCCCCCCTCCTCCCTTTGCCCCTATTAAAATGGCTGAACCTCTTCTGTGGTAAAAAGTGTATTGTCCCTGCAGACCATTAATAATTAAGCCGGAACTGAAAACTGAAATTCTTGCAGCTGTTATTCCTTGTGAATTACTATGTGGGAGTTACAACCACAATTTGACATGAAGGTATCTTCTATGGCATGGCACAGACTTTGGAATCACTTGTTGGCTGAGTTTCTTTGCACTCATATCATCTAACTCTTCATCTTTGTCCTGCACCCTGCAATTACAGGAATTAAAAATCACTGTGCAGAAGCAAGCCAAGAAAGAAATAGTGATTCATAAAAGTTTTACAAAGCATTGAAATATTAATTCAGTTTATATAAATGTGCCATTCAAGCTTCTATCTGGAAAATTGCATATACCAAGCCTAACCTGTCTACAGGTTTTGCTTATACAGTTTCATAGTCTTGGCTATTCCACGCACTCAAGCATTTCAGAGAGTTGTATGAACTTTTTTAAATTTTTCTCTTTATTATACAGCAAGTGTAGCTACATCACACCCTGAGCTGGGGGATATCTGCATAACTGTATTCAGTAATGTTAAAAACCAAAGGAGCTCACTGACTGTGTTCAATTCTGGCAGAAGAAATATATTAGCAAGTTGAGGAGTTAAAAGAAATGACATAAAAATCACTAGGAGCAGCAAGCCAAGGACAAAACAGGAAAGAAATGGTGCTAAAGAATCACTATGCCAAATTCTTTTTATACTGTTGGAGTGACTTAAAGGACTAAATAGGTAAACAAGTTCAGAGCATTTGCTCCCAAGTTCACTGAAGTTAAAAGGATTTCCACTGTCATTTTGGTGTTGGATCCAGGCCTTAAGCAACACAGATGAACTAGATCCTGCCTAATAAGGATTGCATATGTCACTGCCAGTTGGTTCTTGCCTGCTACCCTCCTGGTGGTAGCAGGTTAAAATTCAAGTGATGACCAACTTCTGGCTACTCATTCTGCCTTTCAGGCAAATGCTGCCCCATCTGAAATGGGACACCTGATCTGTTGCTGAACTGCCGTGATGTGAAATGAACACAGAGTTGTTTGGATATTCTCAGCAGAAAACTGAGGAAGTAAAGGTTTAATTTATAGGCAGTCTGGGTGAATCTTTTGAGTGAATGGTGACATTCACTGGGTGGTGAAGTTTGTGCATAGTGACAGCTTAGGCCTTCTAAATTTAGTGTGCTGCTGCACATGTGTTAAGATCCTGGGACTAAAGCCAAATTGGGCACCATGCAGCTGAGCACCTTGTTGCTGCACTAGGGCTTGTGAAATATTGTGCATTCCCTTGGATGGTCTGTGCTCACAGCTGCTCCTGTTATAACTTTGTGTATGAGAAGTCTGTGACTTCACTGCTCCTTAAGTAGTTTAGCAAAGGCAGAATAAGGTAAACATGATGCTTTTGTGCCAGTGAAAGGCTCTGACTCCTAATCTTTGGATTACAGGTGTCTTGCCCAGCACACATTGCTGAAAAGCTTTGATGTAGTAACTTGACACAAATGCAGTTTTTATTGGCAGCTGTTTAGTAGGGGGCACATATGGGAGGTTTGGAGGCTTAGGTCTTGTAGGTCACCACACTCTTTGCCAGGACACTGACAAATACACACACACACACACACACACACACACAAATCGTGAGAGATGTGCAGTGAATGCCCAAGTGGTTAGTGCAACTGGTGACTGCACTATGCTGCTGAATGGCACTTACAGTCCTTCATTACTCCTAGCAAGTAATTTACTGTATTCTTAAAGCTTTTTATCCAGTTCATAATGTTTCTCTCTCTCTCTTTTTCTCTCTCTCCTTTTTTTTTTTTTTTCCCCAAATCTATCCTCTAACTGGTAGAAAGTTGATACTGTTTCTTCGGAATATAAAAACCATGTCTTTTACCAGCAAAACTGCTTCAGGCACATGAAAGTGCTTTATCCTTTTCCAGGTCAAAGTTCCTGTCTGACAAAACGGTCTAAAGCTGTGAAATCAGATAGAATTCATGGATGATGCATGCTAATTTATGGTTTTATTCCCTAAACAGAAAGAATGTATTTAAGAAAAAATAATTGTATTTGAAATTTCTACAAAGATACCATTTCAGGTCTTCAAACAGGTACAAAATGGGAATGATATGATGTAAACCTGAAGGCGGGGGGAAAAAAAAAAAAAAAAAAAAAAAAAAAGGTAATGCTTCCAGTTTAGGAAAGGCTATATGATGGGTTGAATGAAAACCTCTTTGCAGAGGTATGTGTAAATGCTCACTGTTTTTTCTCAATGAAGTCACCAGATGGAGTATGACTGTAACAGAAAACTAGAATTTTAAGGGAATACGTGTTCATACAAATGGCAAACCAAATGTTTTGCATGCTGAGGGATAACGGGTATATCTTTATAGTTGGGAAAAGTCTTGTTAGCTTAGCATAGGAAAAAATCTGCTGACACCATTGCCTTTATAGTATAAGATTTATGGCTGCATTGAAAATGCTGATCATATTATATAGCTGGGTAATGGCCCAACATGCATCAGCAGGATCAGGTGTAACTCATTTAACAGGCTGGAAAACCATGGGGGGAGCAATGATAGGGTATGAGAGGAGCAATGATAGGGTATGAGACAGAGTATCTTCTCCTTTTGAAAGTAGAGGTCTCCATTTTTGTCTTTAATTTCTCATCGTTGGCTGTTATTGCCCAAGGGAATATGATGAGATACTGTGTTTTCTGATGATGCTATGCACAAGGGTCTTCTCCTGGGTTTGTCTTTCCTTTCTCTCTCTCACAAAAAAAAAAAAGCAAGCAAACAAAAAATAAAGGCTTTCTGGAGAAAACATATTACACTCATGCTGGATCTTGCAGTGTTTTTCAGTGATTTTTCAATGTTTTTCAACCATTTTCAATGAGAAGCTGGTGATGTGTTGTCATGCAAATTGCCACTAATCACTTTTGGGTATTACTGATAGCATTATTTATTTATTTATTTTTCCCATTTCATTCTAGCCAGTGTTTTCATAACCCATAGAGTTATGCTAGAGCAGCAGAATGTTGCAGGATTTCCTTAGCATTATTTCCTTTGCATTCTCTGTAAGTGTCAGTGCACGTTATGTCATGGATTAGTGGGGAACTGAATGCAAGGCATGAAGTATGAACTCAAAAGGTTTGAAGGCTAGGATCATTTAGGGTGAGGATCTAACTATGTGGACTGATTTTGACAAGGCAGAATTAGTGCTCTAGCACTGTCTTTATTTTGTGGAGCTGGAAAATCAACTTTAATTGCCAAAGACATGGGAGAACAAAGACTTAATTAACTTTTTTACAGGCTATCTCTTAATTCGTGCCTGTTTTAAAATGAAGTTATTTGTACGGTATATGTGCAATTTAATTTAAGCGAATTGAAGTATTTAATAGCTAGGTGAAATTCATAAGAACTAAGGTATGAATTAAATTCCTTTTATAGAAACTGGCAGTCAAGCCCATAGAGAGAAAGCAGCAATTCTGAGGGAGGTGACTGTGAGCACCTAAATCAGAAGTTAAAAACAGTTAAAGCAGATGGTGTGAATACTTTTCTTGTGATGCTTTCTAAAGTAGCAACTGTTCCCTATATAAATCTAAACAGCATTTTATAATTCTGACATCACAGATGAGAAATAAGTCCTCATTTATTCCTGAATGAATGATTTTCCAGAGCTGAATTACTTTCCAATTCATTTTTATGGAAAATAACTTTTATTCTGATTTGAAATGGAATCTGTTTCGAAGTGTCAGTATTTCCCATCAGATGTAATTTTGAGCTCCCCTTGTGCTGAAAATTTATAAGTCTTCCACCAAACTTCTACAATGGTTATTCAGAGACCTAGAAGTTATCAAAGACAGTTTCCATAGTGAAAAATCATTAACAGTTCTTTTAATTTCTGAGCTTGTAATAATTTTTAATTGCAAACCTTTCTAAAGCCTGTTATTTCTGTGTGGGTTTGTTTTTTAAATCAAGAAGGGTGGAGGTGGAAGAACTCTCAAGTGAACTTAAGTGACCAAAGTCTTTAGCTTTAATCATAATGCAGTTGCTGACCTGGAGTTCATAGTTTTTTTGCATATGGTACTTCTAGTTATTTTTCAAAAGAAAATGAAAATCTGATTGGTTTGGATTATCATTAAAAATGGGATGTGCAAATAAAAATTGTCTTTGTTCGTTCTTTGTAACTCTGAAGGTATCCTTTTTTGTGTATTTATCCCAGTAATTATATAGCTTAGTAAACCATTGTTCATATTATTATTCTTATTATGGTGCTCTTCAATAATTTCTTCATAACAGGAAATACTAAGCGATAGATTTATTTATGAGCAGATATTTTTTTCTGTGATCTGTGCCAAATTGCATTTGGGTAGATGTTTGATTTACATAAATATATGCCAGTTGCATGTTTAACCCAATGTATTAGTTAAATGTAATTAACACTACCTGAAATATGCTAGTTATATATGAAGAAAAAGAAAGTTTATTAAAAATGTTTTGCATAAAATACTGCTTTATTAAGCAACACAAGTACTGCAATCTACTGTTACCCAAAGAAGTATTAATTCTAATTAGAGAGTAGATAGTTTGTTTCCCATCATAGTGATGGGGTTTCAGAAGCTGCCTGAAGGTGGGAAATGTGTTTCTAATAGGATTTTCCCAGGTGTGTAATCAGGTTAGATGCCTACTTCCCATAAAATTCAATCACAAGCTTTTTTAACTGACATTTGATTGTCCCTGCCAGCTTAGTCCATTTGAATATGGAAACAGGCTGATGGTGGCAGGGGGGAGCTATCACAAGCATGTGGCTAGCCTAGGTGTTAGATGATGCTAGTTTGGATGCAGGGGTGGGTGCTGGTGTGTAGAAGCAGTTCAGCAGACACTTCTGAAGCTGCAAAGAGTGGAGGGAGAACTAAAGCATTCAAAGCAGGGAGTAATGCCTTGTGTGTGCTTAGCCCACAAACAAGCAAGGGGTGCTCTGAAGGTCTAAATGCATGTGTCAAGGGGTGCTCTGAAGGTCTAAATGCAATGGAAGGTGCCTGGTTATGTTTTAGGAAAAAAAAGCGAGAAGAAAGCTTTTGCTTGAGAAAAGAGGAAAAGGGCAGAAGGTGCTAATGGTTTTATCCTAGTGTTCGATATCCTTCAAAGAGAGGAAGGAGTGGAAATGGGTGAAATGTGGTATGGCCCCAAGGTAGCTTAGATGCCAAGTGAGTCTTGTGGAAACACATTTCTGAGGCTACCTGGCTCCAACTGCTGTTGAGAGAGTGTTAAGATGTTACTGTCCTTCTGACGCTGCTCTTCCTCTTAATTTTTCCATCTTCTTTCGTCCAGAATCAGATATAGCAGACTTCGATGGCAGAAGTTCGCTCCTGTACAGGTTTAATCAGAAACTTATGAGCACATTCAAAGATGTGGTTTCATTGAAGTTCAAGAGCATGCAGGGAGATGGAGTCTTGTTCCATGGAGAAGGGCAGCGTGGAGACTACATTACCTTGGAACTACAGAAAGGGAAACTCTCCTTGCACATCAACCTGGGTAAGGGCGATTATGATTCAAATATTCTTATAATAATTTGTTTTTATCAAGGAGGGGAGGGAATTCAGACTCAAATTTGTCACCGCAGCTCTTAGTCATAACAACAGTGATGGCTAATGTAATCTGAACTGTTCTTGTTTCCCAAAAAGAGTGATGTAACGTATGGTATTAGCAGGGGTTGATCTCAGACTAGCAATTCCAGGACATTTTAAGAAGTTTGTCTTGTGAAGGTAAAGCGGGCAATGATGTAATATCTCTTTCAGCCTACTCTTTAATGAAAAGTTAGAGTTACAAGCAATCATAAACTTGTGGAAGCAAACTGAGGGCATTTAAACAGAATATGTAAATAATTCCTTCTGCATTTTTCCCCTTGTGCTTAATCGTGTTTGTTTTAAATGTCAGTAACAATTTTCCACAGCTCTCTGGGATTTTATTTTTACATAAGCTCATTAATTGTTTAGTTTCTAGCTAATCTTTTCTTATTTGTTTATTTAGTTAGTTAATCAAAGAGTAGGAATGAGAATGCACCATTTTTCTCATTTGCTATTTGGAATACACTTGAACTAAATAGACATTACATCTTAAACCTTCAAGTATGGCAACCTATTGATTTGTCCCTTTCCATAAGTTTGTTTCAGAGTTAAGAATATGACATATATATTTATATATGCTTCTTCCGTGGAAATATATATATGTGTATATATAAATATTGCCTCTTCCAGGGAAACTTCTTGGTGAATACATGGTCTGCAATATAAGACCAGCTCTCAGCACCTCTCAGCAGTAGCCCAGAATTTACAGATTAGGGCCATTTTGAATCTTCTGTTTGCATACATGTGCCATGGAGAAGGCACATGGTGTGTGAGGTTTGGTTTTGCATGTGTTTGCAGCTTGTCTGACTGTGTGGGAATGAGCCTTTTCCGTTCAGTTGGGAAATGAACATGCACTCCCATTAAATAAGATGCGCTAAAGAGTTCAGACATGTTTCCAGTTAGAAAACAGAAGAGTGCTTGGAGTTAGGGCCTGTGGGGAGAGAGGAGGAATATATATGTATTTGTGCGTGTGTGTGTGTGTATGTACACGCACACCTATGGAAGTAAGAGACTCCCCCCCCCCCAAAAAAAAAAAAAAAAAAAAAAAAATCTTTCACAGGCTTCGGGTAAGGGCCTGGAGTTGACTCCGATGTCCTCTGCTTGTCTCTGCCCTTCCAGGGGATGCCAACCTGCATTTCAGCAACAGCCACACGTCCGTCACCCTGGGCAGCCTCCTGGATGATCAGCACTGGCACTCGGTTCTTATTGAGCGCTTCAACAAGCAAGTGAACTTCACGGTGGACAAGCACACCCAGCACTTCCGCACAAAGGGGGATTCAGATCACTTGGATATTGATTACGAGGTGCGTGAATCTTTGGAGGTTCTAGGTTTGGAGAGGGCTGGACAGGGCCATTCTGGGCTCTCCCCGGGTCACTTCACATGATCCCGCCTGCCCACAAAACTCCACCCTAGTGTGCACTCCCAAAAAGCAGCCAAGGCATCACAGAGTGCAGTTTATATCACTTCACCAGTTCAGTGCTTATGGTCCGATGTCAGTTTAAAACAAATAAAACCCCTAAAATAACTTAGAAACCTTTATATCATCACATCTGTATGCAGACCATTGCACACACTTGCGTATTACCCATGCTCCTTCTTATTGTGGGATGCCTGCTGACGGAGACTTGCTAGCCTGCAAAGCCCAGGGTTGTGTCCACATAGCCAGAGCCATCACATTCTTTGGAGGTGTTGAGCTGGCATGGTGCATTGTTCAGAGATCAAAAATTTCCTCCCTGCACTTTGGAGCCTTTCTCCTAAAAGGAGCAATTCCCAGCAGAGCTGAGGGACATGAGCAGAGGGCTCGGCAGCAGCGTGCGCCTTGGCTGCCTGCTCCCCGCTGCTCCCATGCTTGATTCAGCAGCAGGAGCAGCTCTTCCCTTCTCTGCACCCACACAGAGGCAAGCAGAAAGTAGTGCCTCTCCTCTGACCCTGTTGAAAATGCCCCAGGGCACGTTGTGGAGATCTGCAGCGTGCTGCTATGGACCTCGGTGGTGAGCTCTTTACACAACGTGTTCTCCCTTTGCACTGAAATGCCACTTGTCTTTCAGCAAGTGTCAAGGCGCTGCGGTCTACCCAAAGTTCATCTCCGCACATTTTGGGGATTAAAGGCCTTGCAGAAGGTAGTAAAGCCGTTAGTTTGGTAATTAAAATTATTACCAATCACAAAGGAAACTGTTTTCTCAGTGCTGCAGTACTATAATTGATATTGATTTTTCTTCTGATTTTAGAACTTAGTACAGAGGCCCTAAACAGGAAACTTAAAAGAAGAGAACATGAAAGGAGGAAAGTCTATTGTTTTAAGAAAGAACTAATGATTCTTGCTGAAAAAAAAAACAGTGCTACCACATAAGCCCTGATGCCAATAACAAACCTGCAATTGATGTAAAGTGGAAATCTATTTTACTGTTTTATTTCTGTGAGATAATCAATTAATACAGCTGAGGCACAAGTTCATTAAGAACTTGTTTTCAAAGAAATGCTTTGAAGGTTATCCAGGGAGGCTTTTTTAGCTTCTGCACAGTGGCTTGTTAGGCAGAGTGGGAGGAAAAATAACCCCTAAATTTTCCATGATTTTTGTAACAAGCATTAGGAATAGTGACCAAGTAATAATGCTGCCCAGCTTCCAGCAGCCTTCAGCATGTCCCTGGTGTCTCACAACACCAGTGAACACAGCAGAAGCGCAGGGCAGCTCTGACACCAGCACCAGCCTTGCAGCTATTATATCTCTTACGGTGCTGTTTGCTGTGATGGGAAAATGGGAAAAAAACAAAATAAAAACCTAGCAGTAATGCCAATAAAACTTTGCCGAAAACACTAGTGGAGGTAAATAGAAATGAGCTGTGTCATCTGGAAAATGAAAATAGGATTATTGGAAGTTTTCTTTGTTTGTTTTTCTCAGGAGTCTAAAGTATTTACACTCCAACGATTTTGGAAACTTTATTTTTTTTTAGACTCTCCAAGTCCTCTATGAACTTTCTGTCCCCCACTTAAGCGATGGGTTGTAGTCTGCACAATACTGATGTGTTCCAGTACTTAGACAGCAGCACAGCATGCTTCATTTTTTCCAATAAACTGCTCAGTCTCAAATACAGTACGTGAATATTGTAATGCCCCAAAGTTAGTGAAAATTAAGGCAAAACAACTGCAAGGTACCAATGGGGTGGTTTGTGCAGGTGGCTGGCTGAAACCAGACCTGCTCAAGGCACGTGGCTAGAGGGAGGCAAGGGTTGGCAACTTGCAGGTATCCAGCAATGCGGACCATCAGCTGGAGCCCACTTGAGGGGCACGTGTTGCTTTCAGTGCTCCTGGGTGGGAGGGAGCAGAAAGGCTTTGGGTCTTTTTGTGTGTCATGGCACATAAAAGCCGTTTCCAAATGAACAAGCCATCTGCAGCATCCTGCAAACAGCTGTAAAGCTGTTTATACAACCTGTAACTCCCCAGCTGGCCTCCTGGACAGAGGTGATTCCAGATGTGGTTCTGGTTTCAGCTAATAGCAGGGCTGGCTGCGTGGAGGAACGGAGCTCTGTGCTTTCTTTCTCCATCCTTTTGGGATGAAAACTAAACTCTGTCTTTGTTCTTTCCAAAAGCTCAGCTTTGGAGGGATTCCAGTCCCAGGGAAACCAGGAACCTTTCAGAGGAAAAATTTCCATGGGTGCATTGAGAACCTTTATTACAATGGAGTCAATATAATTGACCTGGCAAAAAGGCGCAAACCTCAGATCTACACAGTGGTAAGAGACACTCGTGCGTGCTTCGTTCTTACTGCCGTGCTGCCAGCTACACCAGATGGATGGAGTTCAGTAGGAACTTAACTAGCTTGTTGATGTCAGTGGTGCTGAAAGCAGCCAAAGCTACAGTGGTGACAGTCACTGGAAGATATGTGCATAAATTAATAGATTTCCTTGACTTTCTAGGTCTATTGGAATCTGTTTGGAGAAAACTTTTAGTTCATTTTCCAAGCTGAAAATATGTTATTTTGGATGGTGTCATAGAGGTCATGATTCTGATCGGTTTTGTGGTTTTCGATTAACTTGAGTAAATTCTCATTTTCCAAGCTTTCCTCCATCATTACTCAGGAATATGTAGTAGCAAAATTTTATTCTGGTATCTGTGTAGGCATCACAGAACGGTTGAGGTTGGCAGGGACCTCTAGAGATCATCTAGTCCAGCCCCCCTGCTCCAGCAGGGACACCTAGAGCATGTGGCACAGGGTGGCATCCAGGCGGGTTTTGAAGGCATTGTGGCAAAGAGTAAATATTTCTCTCACTCTCAGAAATGTTTTCCTTTGTACCAGCTCCTTATATTCAAAGTATTGGCTGGTCTGAGAATCACTGACCTGGTTCTAGTATCTCTAAATGTGGGTCAGTACAGATGAAGTAAAAGGAATTACAATGTTCTCTTTTGTTCACTTAAGACATGCAAATAACTTCATGCCTAATAACATGGGAAAAAACACAAATATTTTCAGAAGTTACAGAACCAAAAGACAGAAAATTTTGTTTCACAGGAAAAGGAAAAATAGTGCACTGCCATGTAGCTTTCAAATTTTTTTAAAATTTCCACGCTTAGTTTAGTTTGTGCCTCACTCCTGCACCATGTTTTGGCCACTTTGCTTTTTGGCCAATGCCATATCTTTGGAGAACATGGAGACAGAGCTGCTTCTGGGTTTTCTGGCACCTTCTAGTTTGAAGCAGAGTGTATGAACAGGCTGAAGGCAGAGCAAAGCAAGGCTGGTGTCCGTTCCTCGCTCACCCTGCCTTGGGCTGAATACATAGGGAAATAGAAAATGAAAGGCTGCGAGTGTAAAGTCCTGTACCATATTGCTACCAGCCAAAACTGACTCCAGGATGCTTCACCTATCCTGGGACTTGAGGGACTTTGCTTTAATAACCTCAAGTTTGATTGTTTTGGCTCAGGACTCTAAGGTACAAATCTTATGAACTGTGTTAAATTGCTCTTCCCCTCAGCTTACTTTCTAAGGGGAGGAAAGAGCCCTTGCCTGCTTCTTAGGTCATTAAATAGTGGGTTGTTTTGCCAGATGGGCCATTGTGAAGGCCTTCATCAAGAGGAAAAGAGAAGCTTTGCAATATGTGTTTTCTTCATGAGATACCATCTGGGTGCAATGCAGCTCTGAGCAACAAAACCCTGTTATCACTGTATTTCGTGCAGCCAGATCCTACTCTTTAGGTCAATTTAAGATACAGGAGATGTGCCCTTCTTCAGTCTCCGTCACGGAGGTGATGGTGTTTTAAAGAAACACTTTTCAGATACTCTCTGTTACGCAGCATTTTGCAAGACCAGCGAGCTGTTCCGTGCTGCAGTCTGGAGTGCTGCTGTGCATATGCGAAGTACTAGGACATGTTGCTGTAGTCAGTACCCCATAGCCTTGAATGAATGCCCTGCTGTAGAAACAGCTGCTGCACATCTGACATCTTCCTATGTGCTTTCTGCCAACCCTATTTATCTCTTCCATTTGTCTACTTGTAGGTATTGCAGCCCTCACAGGTCGATCTCTCTTTTCCTTCTTTTCTGCTTATCTTTGCAGCTTATTATTATTTATTTTAATAACTTGTTCTTGCTAGATGTGGTCCTTTGCCCACCAGACTACTTCTGCACTAAATACTTGTACTCCGAATTTACTGAGGTTTTCAAGCAACACTCCATTTTTCCCAGGGAGATGCAAACTCACTTGCTTTGTGCCTTTGTAGCCTAGAATGAAAATATGATGAAAGAGGCAGTGCAAAAGTAGAATTAAATGTCTTGGAGACTTGGAATCTCTTCTTTCAACAAGCTGTTGTGTAGTTGTCCTCCCTCCTCACCTCAAGTGAACGTCTCTAGAGATGGTCTTGTATGATGAATCTCCAAAAGGATTTTTCTACTAACAAAACGCATCTAAAGCCAAAGTGGCCAATTCTAAATTAGAAACTCATTAACACTCACAGACATTAGTTTTTGCCTCCAAAATGGAGGCAGACATAAATATTCAGTTCTACTTCATTCTCTTCTGAATGTTGGCACAGTCAGTGAGCCAAACTTGTGAGTTTTAATACCCAGCAATCTTTGTTTTATTACTGTTGACATCCTTTACATATGCAGAATAATGATGCATCGATTTCAGAGAGATTTCAACTTCTGCAGAAGTTCTTCCTCCATCCAAATAATGGTCCCAAATCAGCTGCATTTGAAGTAAGAGAAAGAAACTGCAGGTTGTCAAATATAGAGTATTGTACTGTAGGGTACTCTGGGGTAGTGGATGTGATTATCATTCTGCCTGTTATTTTCTATACCTCATTTGCAGTTGTCAGACTTGCAATAAATCCCCTTGAGAAAACATCTCAAGATAATGAGGCTGCCTGTCTCTCTTGAACTGAAATTTGCCCTCAAATTTTCCTTTTTTGTATTGCCCAATATTTAACCCCTCTACATGGTATCCCTATCTATTTGGACAGGCTATCTATCTTCTCTCTGGGGTTTCTTTTGTCCCTGATGGCATGTTTTTTTCTCTCCCTTAAGTCCTTGAGTGTGGCAAAATGATAGAGGATCTTTTATTTGCTCTCCTAAGTGATTACTGGCTTTGACTGCCAGAGGTTTATGAAGTCAAATTTCTGAAATTACTATTATCGTGGCCCTAGGGCTGGACCCTTGGGGAACCTCTACAAGTACTTTAAAATAATAATATAAAGGTCTGTTCTGCAACTAGCTGTGTCTAGGTTCTCAGTACAATGGAAGCACAGATTGCCCAGTACAAGAAATTCTGTATGGTCTCCTACTTTTCCGAGATGAGTAGGAAGGAGTGCAAAAAGATACCAGGAGGAGCTGTTTAAATACATGGAAATTATGTCTGGCTGAGGGAGTAAAGTGGAAAACAGAGGATCAGAGAATGTTAGCAGGGAATATCAGTTATATCCATGCTGTTCTTGCATTTTTTTTTCAGACATCTAATTATAAATATTGCATCCTTGCATGCAACCTTAGGTGCATCCTTGGCTGTTCTTACTTGAAGATGCAGGACTGGCTTGAACATCACCCTCATTGCAGTGCCTAGAGCCATGCCGTTCTGTGCAGAAGGCTGTAGGGAGCTCCTATTCTACAAGTGATACAGCAGGAGAGTAGGTGAATTTAAAAATCTATAATTTGCCTGTCTTTACTAAATCTACCAGGAGATAGATATGCCAGAGCATCCTGGCTGCCAGGGTTGACATGCAGTTGGTTTCAGATTGCATCTTTAGAAACTACTCCTTTAACACGAAGACCTGTGGCCAGTGTTGAAATCTTTTTCTGCCTTAGTGATTTGTGTTGTGAGAATAAGAAGTTTCTCATCTGAGGAAGGGAAATGAAGAGAACTTGAAAAGATGTAGTGCTTGATCTTCTCAATGCTCTGCCATATGTATTCTCTGAAATGGAGAAAAACTCTACCCTCTTCAGTTATCTCTGTCTAATAAGAAGTGGAGTTGTATTCTTAAATAGCCAAGCAAACAGTGCACTGATCTGAGAGAAGTGCAGGATATTTGTAAAGCAGAAGTTGTCAAGTCTTCAATATGCTTGAATTTCTACATCATCTGCCATGTTGTATCTGGGAGTGACAATTCAGCACAGCAAGGGATGTGGTGACATGTAAATGCATCACTGTAGTGCCTCGGGGAAATAACCAATTGCCAGCATCAAAGAACAAGGAAAGATACTTAGTGACAGGATAATGTAAACTAATAATTCATTCTCTTTTAGCAAATCCAAACATGTCCCAAAAATCCAAACAACTATTTTATTAAGCTGATTTGAGATGCCTTCATCTTGAGAAGAACTTGCTTGTCTACACACGTTTCACACCAAAGTTCTATTATAAGTGCTGATATATCTGTGAATATCACGCTGCTGTGAAGGCCTATGCTAGAGTTTGAAGTACCATGAGTTAAATATCTAAACTAAAACTTTTTTTTTTAATAAGTTGAAGGCAGAGCTATTTTTTAGCCCTTGAGAGAGAGGCTGTGTGTGTGTGTGTATATGTGTTGTAGAACTTTGGTAGTCTTGATGACCGCAAGTGAAGCAACTCTTTCGGGGAGAGAGAGTTCATAAATTTTATTAGAATAATAGATATAACTCAGAAAAGCTAACAAATATTTGAGCAAACAAGAACTCTGAGAATTATCAAACATCAGCAAATTACAGGCTAGAAACGATTGTTCTCAGTTTAATTTATTACATTATCTGGATAGTCAAGTTGAGTGAATAGGGTGGTTAGTACCTGCTGAGCAGAGGAGGATGTTTCAAGGAGAGAGGTGATAAGGCTGTTAGTCCCTGTGGGAAGCAAGAGTGATGACTAATTATTGTCACAGAAGTTAGCAGGGGATACAGAAAATGGGGAAAAATGCAATTTGCTATAAAGTCAAGGTTTAAAGATCTTTTCTAAGGTCTTATTCCAATTCCTAAAGCCTCGAAACTGCTTGGTATTTGTTTGACTGCCCAGAGTAAGGGGTCACAACTGAAAGGGGCAAGCTGACCCTGTCACGGTCAGGAGCCTGGACTCCAGGCAATTCATGCTGACGGTTTAGACTGGTCTTGTGCTATGATACACAGATGATTGGAATTTAAAAGAGGAAAATTTAATAAAGAAAACTAATAAAAAAAAAGCATATCAGAATTGCTTTCCATGCACTTTTTAAAGGTAGATGTGGCTCTGTTTAATAATAAAAAGAATCTCCTTGCTGCTATGTTTTGTTCCAGGTAATAAAAT